ACTTCTTTTCCACAGCTCATAAAACAGAGGAAAGGGTCCTGAAAGATATTGTTAATAGAAACGTTATCCCTACAGACAAAAATCAGAGGATACAACTGACGATTTACTATAAAACCAGAAAAACGGCCAGCCTACTCATGAGAAACTCTCCAGACACGAAACAGAACGCTTTAAAAGAGACTAACGTCGTCTATGCCTTCAAATGCCCACTTGGGGACTGTAAGCTCCAAAAAACCCAGTATATAGGCAAGACAACAACATCTCTTTCTAGGCGTTTAACGATGCATAAACAACAGGGCTCCATTAAGGAACATATAATCTCTTCCCATAACCAAACCATCGCCAGAGAAATCCTAGTAAACAACACAGAAATCATCGATAGATACAGCGATAGCAGGCGGCTTGACGTTTGCGAGGCACAACACATCAAGAAGTCAGCACCAGCAATCAACAGCCAATTATTGCACAACTATATTCTACCCACCTCAAGACTCCGCTCCAATATAGAAGCATCAAGAAATATGGACCAATAGGCTTTCTACAAACACTTCTATTCAATATCCATTGTTTCGTGTTCTGTCTTGTGTTGATACTTTTAATACCCTATTAATATCCTCTAATGCCACATCATCCTTCCCACCTCACTCAAATGTAATGCCACATCACCCTTCCCACCTCACTCAAATGTAGATATAAAATCAGGGAAACGCAAGTTCTAATCAGTTGTGTATTTGTGAAGTCTTTGAAAATGTAATAAGTTTTACGAAACGCGCCCGTGTCGCGTCAGACTAGAAATAAAAATGAATTTTGGAGAAGTGATTTTTGATTTACCTCCAACATATTTAATAAATCAATAGAGTCAGGCAGAGTGCCAGAGTTTTGGAAAGTTGCTAATGTGATACCAGTTTTTAAGAAAGGAGATAGATCACTTGCGTCTAACTATCGACCAATTAGCCTAACGTCTATTGTGGGAAAGTTACTCGAATCTATAATAGCAAATAAAATTCGTCTTCATCTTGAAAAACATAAATTAATAATTGAGTCGCAACATGGTTTTATAAATGGCCGTTCATGTTTAACAAATTTGTTATCTTTTTATTCTAGCATTGTTGAGGCAGTTGATAGTGGTAAGGATTGCGATGTTGTATACCTTGACTTTAGCAAAGCTTTTGATACAGTGCCACATGAAAGACTGATTAAAAAAATAGTCTCATGGTATTGGGGGTGCTATATTAAGCTGGATTAGGGCATGGCTATACCAAAGGAAACAGAGAGTTAGTATAAATGGAATCAAGTCAGAGTGGGAAAATGTAAGTGGAGTGCCTCAAGGCTCTGTCCTGGGACCTCTGTTGTTTATAATATATATAAATGATTTAGATTCAGGTTTGAGTAGCAACATTTGCAAATTTGCCGATGATACGAAAATCGGTAGGGAAATTAATTCGGAGGAGGACTCACTATCACTTCAAGTTGATCTAGATAGGGTTTTGAAATGGTCAAAGGATTGGCAGATGCAGTTTAATGCTGATAAATGTAAAGTTCTGAGGTTAGGTAATGATGATAGAGTTACAAGATACGAGCTAGATGGTGTTGTGATTGCGAAGTCGGATTGCGAAAGGGATCTGGGAGTTATGATTAGTAAGAATTTAAAACAAAAGGATCAATGCATAAATGTTCGTAATAAGGCAAATCGGACACTTGGATTTATTAATCGCAGCGTTAGTAACAAGACACCTGGTGTGGTTCTCAAGCTATATCTTGCTCTAGTTAGGCCCCATTTAGATTATGCAGTTCAGTTTTGGTCGCCATATTATAGAATGGATATAAATTCACTTGAACGTGTCCAGCGTAGGATGACTAAGTTAATTCCCCAAATTAGAAATCTTTCATATGAAGAAAGATTAACAAAGCTTAAGTTGCATTCACTAGAAAGGCGAAGAGTTAGGGGTGACATGATAGAGGTTTACAAGTGGATGAATGGACATAACCGGGGGGATATTAATAGGGTATTAAAAGTATCAACACAGGACAGAACACGAAACAATGGATATAAATTGGATAAGTTTAGATTTAGGAAAGACTTGGGTAAATACTGGTTCAGTAACAGGGTTGTTGATTTGTGGAACCAATTGCCGCGTAACATTGTGGAGGTGGGGTCCCTCGATTGTTTCAAGCACGGGTTGGACAAGTATATGAGTGGGATTGGGTGGTTATAGAATAGGAGCTGCCTCGTATGGGCCAATAGGCCTTCTGCAGTTACCTTTGTTCTTATGTTCTTAACAGTGAAGCATAATGTACGAAAGATTGAGAAAATTCGTGTTAGAATTATTAATCTTACTTTTTCGGTCATATTTAATAAAATATGTCTACAGGAAAGACTGCTACCAAAATATACTAATATATATATATATATATATATATATATATATATATATATATATATATATATATATATATATATATATATATATATATATATATATATATATGGTGCCGGACCAACCAGGCTGTGGCGGATATGTGGGCCTGCGGGCCGCTCCAAGCAACAGACTATATATATATATATATATATATATATATATATATATATATATATATATATATATATATATATATATATATATATATATATATATATATATATATATATATATGTCGTACCTAATAGCCAGAACGCACTTCTCAGCCTACTATTCAAGGCCCGATTTGCCTAATAAGCCAAGTTTTCATGAATTAATGTTTTTTCGTCTACCTAACCTACCTAACCTAACCTAACCTAGCTTTTTTTGGCTACCTAACCTAACCTTACCTATAAATATAGGTTAGGTTAGGTTAGGTAGGGTTGGTTAGGTTCGGTCATATATCTACGTTAATTTTAACTCCAATAAAAAAAAATTGACCTCATACATAGAGAAAAGGGTTGCTTTATCATTTCATAAGAAAAAAATTATAGTAAATATATTAATTCAGGAAAACTTGGCTTATTAGGCAAATCGGGCCTTGAATAGTAGGCTGAGAAGTGAGTTCTGGCTACTAGGTACGACATATATATATATATATATATATATATATATATATATATATATATATATATATATATATATATATATATATATATATATATATATATATATATATATATATATATATATATATATATATATATATATATATATATATATATATATATATATATATATATATATATATATATATGATCACAAAAACACTGATCCAAGTATGCAGAATAACCACATGTGAAAAATAGAAAATGCTTAACGCGTTTTCGGCTAATTCGCCTTCATCAGAGCAAAGTAGAATGATGAAGGCACATAATGGGCTCAGGGACTGAACCCCACAATTCATTTAGCTAAGCAAGTTACAATCTTGATGAGCTAGTTACAAAATTCAATATAAGTCGTCACATCAACAATGGGTTCGAGATCGACCTCAAGTACAGGTTTTAAATTAAGCAACTGACATATGTGGAGAGCTAGTGTCACAATTTATGTTTGTCCTGCACTCCGCCCCCCATCCAGTGGGCAGCGGTGGATAGGTTACAATCACTCAGTTACTATCTACAGTTAGCAAACTGGGGTTATTTGGCTAAAATTTCTGGTAGCAGATCATTTTGAAAGAAATATTTACACATCCTTGGAACATTGGTTATGAAATTGTCTCTAAATTCACGTATCTTTTCGCACTCCATCACCTAGTGACGGAGGGTGTGCGAATAATTTTGTTGACACCCAGCATGTATTAGAAATATTGTCGGAACAAACGTAGACATCTTCAAGAGAAAACTTAGATAATTTTCTTCAAGAGGTGCCGGACCAACCAGGCTGTGGCGGATATGTGGGCCTGCGGGCCGCTCCAAGCAACAGACTATTGGACAAAGCTATCACAAGTCAAGCCTGGCCTCGGGGCCGGGTTTGGAGTAGAAGAACTCCCAGAACCTCATCCAGGTAGAGGTACGCTTGATTATTCCTAGGGGTTTGGTTAGCTTTTTTTTATTGCCGCTCTCACTTGTTGTGAAAGTTTCAATGAATGATGGACTCTTTCTGAAGCCATCAACACAGCCACTCTCCTGGCCAACAAAGGTGTCCAGCAGCTGGACACCCTGATAAAGACTGTGAAGCAGTATCCTCCCCCACGATAACAGCTTGATGGTTAAATGCAACCTCAGAACACTGGGAAAATTTTTTTTTTACCACTTACGGGCTATTCATGCCCGTGCCACCTCTTGGATGGCTTAATCTTTATCAATCAATCACTCGATGGACTCTGACTCCAAGGTCCCTTTCTTCATCAATCTGTTGTAAAGTTGTGCTGTTAATTTGGTAGTTTTGACGTGAATTGTTGTGCTCCACATGCAAGATCTTGCATTTATCTGCATTAAAAACCATTTTCCAGTCTTCTGACCATTTGTGGAGTTCATGTAAATATCTTTGTAAGGTCTCGATATCATTTTCACTTTCCAGTTTACCATAAATCTTAGTGTCATCTGCAAATTTGATGATGTGGTTTGTAATATTCTCATCTATGTCATTGATGTGTATATGACAAAAGGGTTGGCCCCCAAATGGAGCCTGTGGTACCCCACTTAATTTAAGTTTAAGTTTCCCAGTTTAAGATCGTCAGGACAAATTGCGGTGAAGGGACTTTTGACAAGCCGCTAAATTCCTGTGCTCGTCGAGGCCACTAGAGAGATGGGTGAACTTCAGATAAAAACATTTCTTGTCATTGTAAAGTAAAAACATTTAATAATACCGGTATAAATATAAAATTAGTGAGTTAAATCAGGATCAAAATACAAGGATACCATATTTTATTTTTACTAAAAAAAGGTTTAAATTATATCAAATACTCAAATAAAATATAAATTAATTAGAGAAATTGCGTTTTAATTCAAACAAAATTTGTTTAAAAAGAGACATATAGTGAAAATGGGAATGAGATTATCGAGTACGTAACTCAGAGTTAAGCTCCAAGTTGTTGACATAGAGGGGAAACAGCTGACAATTGATAAACACTTTTGTTCGTCGCACCTCAACGAATAACTTTGTTGCTGCTTACTGCAACGAGTTGAGTGAGGCCTCAACTACTGTCTGTGTCTTCGACCAGGACCATAGGCAAGGGAGGAAGGGGCAGGATAAGCTAGAAATATAAGAGGAAGGAGGTGTCGAGGCGAGGCGGAGCCGCTTGTGCTGCTCTCTCTCTCTCCACCACCTTCATCAAGCAAGGATTCCACCCAACTCCTCCGTCATGCACAGGGCGCGTGTGAGTAACTCTGGCTCAGCTGCAGTAGCTTGTGTTCGCCGGTGCTCGCTTGTGTTCACCGGTGCTCGCTTGTGTTCGCAGGTGCTTGCTTGTGTTCGCCGGTGCTCGCTTGTGTTCACTGGTGCTTGCTTGTGTTCACCGGTGCTCGCTTGTGTTCGTCGGTGCTCGCTTGTGTTCGCCGGTGCTCGCTTGTGTTCACCGGTGCTCGCTTGTGTTCGCCGGTGCTCGCTTGTGTTCGCCGGTGCTCGCTTGTGTTCCCCGGTGCTCGCTTGTGTTCGCCGGTGCTCGCTTGTGTTCGCCGGTGATCGCTTGTGTTCATCTACATGCACTTGTGTCTACCAACATTTGCTTGTATTTGCCTGCGTTTGCTTTCACATGCCTGTACTCCGCTGCACTCACATGTTTGCTTGCGTTCATTCATGTTTGCTTGGGCACGCCCGCAGTCGCTTGTATTTGTCTGGTTTAGCATGTCTGCGTATGCCTTTGCTTCTGTTTACTTGCCTTTGCATGTGTTTGCCTGTGTGTTTCATCTGTGTTTTATAAAAAGTTGTGTAAAAATGGTATGTGCAATTATAGGATCTTTATACTGTGGGAAAAGTCTTGAATGATGTGTGGATGAAAGAATATGTAGAGAGGTTAGTGGAGGAAAGAATGGGTGTATAGATAGGTGAAGGAAGAATTAGGTAGTGACAACCCGAGTAAAGCCTCCACCCACCAACCCTACTTACACAATGCTCTCACCTTCAAACCCCTCCATCATCCACCAACCCCTCCCACACCCATAAGGCTATTCAGGAATATCGCTCCTATTTTTCAAATCGCTTGTTTTCTCTTGCCCTCAGTACTTCCCCTTTCAAAGCAGGAGAGACTTCTTAAAATAAGTTAATACAGAGAACATGTTTGGCATGTATTGGCTTGATAAAGCACCTGAACTGTTGGGACCATCTTGACTCGTAAGGTACTCTCTAGAAAGGAGATTAGGTATCACATAATATATACAGTACATGGAAAATATGGAAAGGCTAGGTCCAAAATTTGTTAAGTAAAATAAAATCCTGGAATTTAAAAAATATGGTAGAAAATACAGAGTGGACATTGTGAAGAGTAGGAGTGCCATAGTTACAATCAGAGAAAACTGAGCATCAAAGGTTCACATCTTTTAAATGTCCTCCCAGCAAACAAAAGAAGTATTGCTGGTATAAAAGTACAGTAGAAGTGTTTAAAAGAAAATTTGACATTTTCTTGCAAGAAGTACTGGATCAACTGGGTTGTAGTGGATATGTTGGCCACTTTAAGAAACAGCCTGTTGGACCACATTATCACAAGTCAATCCTTGGCCTAGGCTGGGTTCTGGGAGTAGGAGTGTCTTCCAAGAGTTCATGTATACAGCCTTACTCACCACCCACACTATTCACTCGTCAAGACAGACTCGCCTGCACCCTCGGCCTACCAACCCCAATCCACCTACAGCCAAGTATAAGAAATGTGGCCAGAACAAAATAGGATGTGTTTAAAAGAAAATTTGACACATTACTGCAAGAGGCTACCTCTGGGGTCCTCTAAGGGACAGCCAGTTGGGTCAAGTTATCAAGAGTCATGCCTGGCCTGAGGCCAGGCATGGGGAAAATAGAATACCCAGATCCCACTCCAGATATACCAACCCCAATCCACCTACCAACCCCTACAATACCCCTTCACCTCCTGTGCCAGGCCCATCAAGTGAGCCTGTCACTTGACCATCTCCTGTAGTACCTTTCACAGCAACTTAAAAGGACCCCCTTTACACCCCTGTTTCTTCCTCTTCTTGAAAATAAATCTTGACTCCTTCCCACAAAGCCTATAATAAACTTCTAGAGAACACGCTTGACATAATTTTAGGCGAATACAATACTGCTACTTAATTTCTGGTTCTGTCTGTAATTTTTTTTTCCCCGAATTACTTCCCCCCCCCCCACAAAATACAGCATTCCTATTTATTAGTGGGGGTTTCTTTTGAAGTTTAAAAATATCATGTTATAAACTGTTTGGATAATTGAGGGTTCACTGTCTTGTATCTTCATGCATATTATGAACATAATTGTGATGGAAATAAATTTTTTCAGTACCCTGATGCTCCTGGAAGTCGCGGGTCAGGAGGCCACACAACACACTTTGTCAGGAGGCCGGTGCGTGAACAGATGTTGGAATCTATACCAGCTGTTGTTGTGGGCATCACACTGCTCTTGGTTGGCAGCGGCCTTCTTTTCTGGAATGAGGTGTGTGTGTCTTCTAAGATTATGAAGGGCAAGATGGTTATATGCCATCAGTGTAGTATTTATCACTGAATAGTAGACAAGACTAAAAGTTTGAAAGGGTAAAGAAATTTAATAATTTGTAGCTAGTACCTGCTTTTAAATCTGTATAATGGGAGTTACAACTGTGGAGACGATCATAATTTTCCAGTTAACTATGGAGAAGCTTGGGCTCGGTCAATTTCATTTAAGTTCTGAATGTCACGGGTGTATTCAATCTTTTATTATAATTAATTTGTTCACTGTGAAAATTTTCTTTGGTTATGAATAACATTTGCAGAAGATTATCAGTAATTTGTCATTGGCACACAAATTGTAAACAATACTTCATTTACATCACAGTGTGCTACATATGCCTCTTCCTTCTGCTGTCCTTGTTTCCTCTTCTCTTGTCTGAAAACATTAATATAATTCGGTAGAACAGGTAACTTACCCCCCCTTGGTGTCTATGAAGAAGAGCATCATAATAAATACTATTATGTTAATTGTATGTGCAATGTCATTAACATGAGCAACCTGTTAATGGTTTTACTTGAATACCTTAATTTTGCAGGGACGGGCTGTGCAGACATCCCGTAGCTTAGACGAGGGCTATAATGCGGTTATACGAGTTGCAAGTGCTAACATCATACACGAGGAGAATAATCATAAGGTAATATTTAAACAAGCCAAAGAAGTTGGCTTTGAATTATCTGCAAACTGTTCTTGCGTTCACTTTTCATTCGGCCAGAATCTATTTTCACCAAAAGGGGTTGACATATATCATCATACATAGGAAGAGGGAGGACAAAATGGCAAATAAAATTAACATTGTCTCCTTCTGCATGAACCAATAGGAATTTTAATAGTACGTTATTCAAATACTTGAAAATTACTTTTTCTTTTTAAATCTTGTGTATGACCCTCTGTCCTGCATTGACAGGGAATACCAGCATTATCCTCAACTTTAATAAGACTTAATTGAAATCCTCAGACTAGGCAAAATTGTAATTAATTTTGTCAATAAAGATGTTAATAATAATAATAATAATAATGTAAAATGATGGATGGTCCATTGAAACCCACCTCTAATAATCTTAGTACTGTTCATCTTGGCTATTCATGCTTACTAGTCTTAGTCATGGCTGAAAAAGCAGAGATATGCAAGTTTCCCTGAAGCTGCTTAAGGCGATAAATAAACATGACAAATCAATAAATCAAATCCTTCTAAAGTAACCTTCATCATCCAAATGTTTGTGATAATCTATTTTAAACAATGGGACCAAATAGCTGCCAAACTCCTACAACTTTATTTTTCTTTTTGTGTCCATGTTATATGTTCATGCCGTCCTTCATGTGGCCACTGTTAACCCTTAAATTGCTCCTGTTATTCTCAAAAATTTGTTTTGTCGAGGACAGGAAGTTGAGAGACTCCCAAGTCCCTGACTATATCCTTCAACCCCTCTCGCTTTCCCATCATTGCTCTCCACACATCCAACCCATTTCTTCCAACCTCCAAAACTATCCATATCCCTTTCCTGATCTCTCTCTCTCTTCACTTACTGGGGACCAGAGCCAGAACCTGCCCCTCCCCTCACATAGGTGCAAGGAGTGGGTGACACTTGGCCACCTTTCTGGGAAAGGCACCCAGAAAGTTAATGAATCAATACAGACCACTGCTGGTTTATAGACCAAAACCTCACAACCTGCCAAATGAACTCCCCCAATAATATAAACAAAAGATCAAATATTTCTCGAAAGAAGCACGCGCTCATTCGCACCACTCCTCCCACTTATTGGTGGTGCGAATGAGGAAAGGAGGCTGGGACTCGGGCTGTCCACATGCCCCAACCGACAACCTGGAAGAAAGGGGGGGGAGGGGTTAGGGAATCGAGGAGCCACCAGGGCTTGCGCAGAAATTAACATTTCTGGAGGTGGGGGCATAAAGCTCCCTAACCCTACAACCAGAAGCAAAGGACCAACAAAAGATCTAACGATATAGAGTCCCTGACTGAGGGGGGGACACCGGAAACCTAGAAAAAGAAAAATGAGAGTGCTGCCCAAAGACCAAGTGAGCATAACACTTTCGCATTTTGGGCAAGAGAGCGCTGCGCCACCCCAAGGTATGCCTGACATTCCACGAGAGCATGTGGCAATACTGAAAAGTGTATATGCTCTTCAACTTTGTCATCTCAATTCTTGTCCAAGGTTTTTCAATTTGCAATAGAATTCTCTACTGGACTAAAGGCATATAAAGTCCAAAAGCCCGGCGTACCATCCGCAACAGAGAAAGTGAAAGCGTGTTACCCGGGAGTGCAAGAGCAATAAAATGTGTTCTCTTTTCACTTTTGTCACCTCAATTCTCATCCTAGGTCTTTCATTTTGGTATCAATATGTTTGCAACGAAATTCTCTACAGGAGTATATACATATAATGTACAAAACCACGGTGTGCCCCTCCCACAGCCAAGTGCAAAAGCAGGCCAAATTTTATATTTTTTTTTACACCATACTGTGTTGTTAACGAGTGAAAGTGTTAAGTGGGGCATGGGCAGGCCAGAGATGAAACCGTGTGGGGAAAAACAGTGTTTACTGTTTACGAGAAACTGTTTACAAAACGGTGGCAAAAGCATATGGATGCCAAGTGCAAGCAACGTCAACTCCGCCAGCTCAGCATAAGAGCCAAAAGCATTCAGCATGGTGTGTCGTAACGAAATACCAAGAAGGAACGGATAGAATCACACATTCAGAAACCAAAGAGCAATGACAAAGAGACAGGAAGTGGCGGAAAGAGGACCAAGAGACCTCATACTGTCACTTAGAAGACAACTGTAGGTGGTACACCACCAAAGCCACCCATTTGGCATAGAGGTGATGATAAAGTTGTGATAAATTTACCAGATGTGAAGAACCAAGGAGAAAGAGCGAGGTTAGTCACTGGACCGAGCCATGTAGAGCTGCATAAAAATGTCTGGTTCAGATACTAAAATCTGTGCCTGAACAATGTTTCAGCAGTGCCTGAACCTGAAGTTTAACTTGCCATCAAGGAGCCAAAAGGATCACCCTCTTCTGGTAGGACTCCAATCTGGCTAGAACCTGGGGAAAGAGATTCAGAAACCGCCACCACGCCTAGTCCAGCCAAAAGGCATCCGCTGTGAAGGTCCTGTGATTGGGAAATGAAGCTTCGTAAGAAGGAAGGCACCGATTCTAAGCCAATGCAAAGAGACGCACTTTGGGGCACCCAAATCCCTTCCAAAGCCACAGGATGAAGGAGGCGACAAAGTTTCATCTTGTGGAGATGGGAAGGAACCACGACAGACCGTCGGCAAGAGCATTGGATACACTTCAGTTGTAAAACAGAGAGAACTAAACCCTGAGAATCTAGCAGATGAGCTATTCGCAGTATTTAGTTCCGAAGGGCAACAGACCAAAAGGAGTCCCATGGATTCAGATAATGAACTACTGGGGCACAGTCCAAATGGTGCCAGAACACAGCCCACAGGAATCTGAATCCTCCTCAGGGCATGCCACTCGGCTGCAAACTCCCTCACTGTATTGTGTGCCAGATGAAAAGGAGGAGAATAGTGATGCTGAGCGGCTTAGTGATTGCTGGTCACAAAGTCCCAATCCAGAACTTAGAAGACCGTAAAGATGTCGAGCAAGGGACGGCAAGCAGGCACCAGGGAACAGGAACCCCCATAAACCCAAAGAGGAAGCTGGAGATGCAGCAGCCAGCAAAAACAAGTGGGGTTATTCTCAGTAGTCGCAGTGGCAGCAAAAAAGGGCAGAACCAATAAAACCAAAACAGATCCTGAAGCTACACCCTGCCTAGTGGCAAAACCATGCAGGCAAAGTCAGGCTCCTGCACAGCCTTGCAAGCAACATCGGGCTCCTGCATAGCCTTGCAAGCAATTACCGAGTCACCCGAGGCCACCAACGCCAGCAGGTGGCAGCGCTGTCACCGTCATCGAAGGAAGGGAAAGTGACATCAACCAAAAATCCCACATGACTCGTGCGAGTCCAAATCTGGAACTGCACCAACTGTGACTTCCACCATTTTACCAGGAACTTGAACCTAACATGCAGGGCAAGAACCAGATCCTTGTCTAGCAGACACATGGCCTGACTAGGAGCCCACACCAGCCAGTTGTTGAGGTAGGTCAGAACACAACCCCCCCCCCCCCCCCCCCCCCCCCCGAACAAACGAAGAAGATGAGTCAACACAACTTGAGCCAGCCTGATGAACACACGGGGCACCACATTAAAGCTGACGGGAAGATTCCAGAAGCTTTTGTGCACCACAGTTCTCAATGTAAAGAAAACCCCCATCTCCTTCCCCAACTCCCTAAACCTGTGGGAGGGATGAGCCAAACGAGTGCATGCTTATTTTGAGAGATTTTTTATTGTTTGTTTACATTTGAGGGGGAGTTTGTATGGTGGGTTGTGAAGCTTTGGTCTCGTTGAACCCGGCAGTGGTTTGTATTGGCTGACTTTCTGGTGCCTTCCCCGGTGAGGTGGAGGAGTGTTGCCCGCTTCCTGTGCCTCTTAGGAAATCACTTACGCAAATACTTACGAACGTGTACATCTTTCCTCAATCTTTGACGGCTTTGATTACATTTATTAAACAGTTTACAAGCGTGAAAACTTCCCAATCAACTGCTGTTATTGTTATAAACAGCCTCCTGGTGCTTTGGAACTCATTAACTGTTTAATATATGGAAACAAAGTCGCCAAAGATTGAGAAAAGATGTACAGGTTCGTAAGTGCTTGCGTAAGTCCATTCGTGAATCTGGCCCCTGGTTCTGGTTCTGGTTCTGGTTCCCTGTAAGATAAACTCAATTCCACAACTAATGTGATCCAGTAGTTAGTGGCATGTTAGTGGCTTTACAAGAATGTAAAAACATTTAATGCTATGTACAGTGTGCTCTCATAAACCCATTGTACCTTCTTGTATATATATAAATAAATAAATAGATAAAAGTTTGGGGTGCTCTCAGTGAGATAGCTTCATGAAGCCACAAGGTGTTTCCCCATGAAGGACTTGTATTAAATGGCTGGAAATATATTGAATGTGTTGTATTAGCATCATGTGCAATAGTCATACTGGCCTAATGTATCCTCCTCGTAATTAAGTTACGTTACATTTGTATTAGCACAAGTGATGATGTTCCAGCTGGTGCAGGTGTGGGGTACTTTGGCAACCTCCCCAGTACTGACGGACGACACCTACGGAGTGGAGATCAGTGCTGTCCGAATGAAGCGACGTGTCCAGATGTACCAGTGGATTGAGGAAGAATCTTCAATGTGAGGTTCATGTCTTGTTTCTTTGTTATTATATAAATGTCTGAAGTTTAATTAAAGATTTTAGTACTTATCACTGAGAAATGTGTGTTCTGTCTAGCGGCGTGGTCTCATTTGCATTTCTATATCTTTAATTCGGTTAATATTTTCATTTATTATATGCATTTTGTACCTTTCATAAATAATTTTATAATTAGCTTTTCATTCGTGCAGTTCTATTGCTTTATACCTAGTACAGTATTCAAGCATTTTAGGCTGTGCAGTTCTGGTTAGACATTGAATTAATTCCGCATCTTTCCACTTGCCTCTCTTCATACATTCTTTTCTTTTCATTATCCTTGTTTTATCCATCCCCAAAACTCTGACTGCTCTCAAGGAGTTTGTCTACTTGTGTATACAAAAAATGAAATTTTTTCTTTATATAAGATATATACAGTATGGGTAAAAAATACAAGATACGTATATACAGTATATAAATTTTCTACTTTCAATGGTTTAGCTTTGGTGGTGTGTGGAAATTGAGAATTGTGGCTGGCGGCATTCAGGGCACCGAGTGACTGGGAGGTGTTAGATTGTTAACACAAGTGGAGGTGTTACTCTCCCCATGCTTCACGAATGCTTTGGCCCGAGTTCGTATCCTGGCTGGGGAGGATTGACTAGGTGCCACTCCTAAACTGTATGCCTCTCTTTACCCAGCAATGAATGGCTACCTGGTTGTTAAACGATTTAGTGGGTTGTATTCCAGGGAAAAATTAGGATCAAGAACCTGCCTGAAATCCTGTGTGCTAGTGGCTTTACAAGAATGTAAGAACTCTTGTATATATATTAAAAAAAAATGTTTGGAGGTTTTACTTTTGCTATGTTTCCAGGCATTTTACTTTTCTGGGGAGTCCCATGATGGGTTCCTGAAGCTAACTCTTTGAAGCAGCTTCCCATACCAGTCACATCAGTCTTATGATGGTCTACTGGGTTATGTTATGTTGGTCTACTGGGACCCTATAGCCAGAACCTGCCTCCCCCCTCCTCCCATCAGAGGCACAAAGAGAAGGGGGTTGTTCACTCTCCTTAGGAAAGCACCAAAAAAAGCAGGAGACAATGCATGGAACTGCATAGTTCATGAACACAAAGCACTGAAATGGCCAACAAACACCACAAAAAATTACTTAAAAGAAAAGGGGTACATTTGAACCTGGGTATTAAATGCCCCCGCATGCTCCCACCCCTGCATGAAATGCATGCTCAGAGCCACCAGGCTGGTGGCATCAGTTCTGTTGCTGATGTGTCCACAGCGCTCTTCCCCATCACTTGGACTTGGCGCATCCTACTTTTCTGGAATGCGCTGAGGCTCTCGCTGACACTGCTCCATATTGGAAGGTCCCATCAGTTGCGGAAGTTCTGTCTGGCCTACCAGGTACCAGAGACAGAACCTGGTCCCTCAGAGGTGCACGGAGCGAGTGACAATGTCACGTCAGCGGAAAATGCTTCCAGAAAGTTTGTGAAGCTTTGCAGACAGCTGGTGACATTCATGCAAAATGAAGCCGTGAAACCACAAAAAAAACTTTGCAAGCAATTCACACAGAACAAGGGATTTGCTCACTGTAGCTCGAAACTTGTTAGTTCCAATTATCACCACCAGGTAGCCCAGTCCCAGCCCTCCCTCGGCTCCCTTGGTAATTTTTTTTGGTTCTGCTGTTGACGAGGAAGTGATTAGTTCTACCTGTAGTGTTTTGGTTTGTCATGGGCAAGCCCCATTGTTTCAAGCTAAGTGCAGGTCATCTTTGGATGTTGTCCTTCAGAGACCATTTGGTTGTTGTATTATTCCTTGGTTAGCTTCATGTGCATGTTTTCATTCTGAGTTCTTGTGCAGACTTGGTTTTTGTTGCATTTTGCACAGCATGCTTTCAGGATTTTCCTCCCCGGGCGTCTGCATAGTCGGTCGTCTTCTCTGGTATATTCGGGAGTTTGCACCCAAGAGGACTGGTTGCCGGGGTGGAGACTCTCGCCTTGGGCATTCTGGAATCTTTTAATCTTCTATACACAGTAATCACAATAGTGTGATATATCAAATGAACAAATCACGGCCCTAGTGGATTTGTTCATTTTATTCCTGTATTTGGGCCCTTAGCTGGGGGCATTCTTTTGGTTGTGCTGAGATTTGTTTGTTTATACAGCACATCCTGGGCACCATTTATAGCCTGGTGGTTTTGGTTGCATTTGGTGGCTGTTGTCTTGGTGAGCGGCCCCGATGCTTGGGTTTTTTTCTTGCCTGAGGGTGTCACCTTTCAACCTTGGTGTTGGATGTGGTAAATGGCCCTGCCTTCGGGCTGTCATGGCTGGTTTCTTGGGCTGAGTGGGAGGAGCTCGAGGTGAGCCTGTTGGTGCTTTTTGCCCCTTTTAAGGCCCGGTTTCTACTGCAGGAGAATTTGTTTCTGGGGCGAGTTTTATCTTACCAAGAAAGGGAATGAGTGTTTGTTTCCATGACGACTCCCTCTGTAATTAGTTCAGTGTACTATTCAGTACTTCGGTTTCACTTGCAGGGAGGTTTCTGTTGCCTCGTGGTGCTTCATTGGTGGCCCGTTTGAACCTGTTTCAGTAACTTTTTTTTTTTTTTTTAGCAATTGCACCTCTTTTTTTTTCTGTGTTGACGGTGTCGTGTGGTCCCTGCTTTTCCTGGCTGGCTGGCACACCCTCTTTGCTCCTGAACTGTGTCACGTGTTTGGTAGGGCATAAGCAGTATCTTCCCTATTTTCTTTGATGGCACTTGCTCACAACTGATGGCCTGCCAGCGCTGCTCCAGTTCTGTATGGGCATGGGCTGGAGGGAACCTCTTGTATTCTTAAGGATATTTCATTTTTGCCCTGGTACATATGTTTGGTCTGGCTTTGTTAGATTTGAGTGTTTTGTAGGCTGGTTGTAATCTGATCGAGTCTTCTTTCTGGAGGCCTCCTTCGTGGAGGTTTCCCCTACAGCTTTGCTCACGGTTAGCTTTTTTGGGGGTGCATTTGTGTCTTGCCTGGTTTTCTGGGTGCTTTCCTGGTAAGGGTGATTGTAACAATCCCCTGCTCTCTGTGCCTTTTTGTGACAGGTCTTGTTCCAGGTCCCCAGGAGCCCAACAATGCTCCAAAGACTGATGTGACTGTGTAAGGGAGGCTATCTCAGAGAGGTAGCTTCAGGAAGCCATCAGGGCTCACCCAGAAAGTGGCATCTCAGTCAATTCAATGCTGGTTTTTCTTATTTTTTTATATGAGGAATAATACACATAATTGGTTCAGTCATGATTGCACAGAAGCACACCACATTTCTTACACAGTGCAGATGCACTCAGATATTCTCTTCTGTTCCCTTCACTAAGTTTGTATACTGTAATGCAAAAGATGTTTTTAATATATTGTTTAGGAATGCAAACTAAAGTTTTATTCCATGATTGTACAGAAAATAAACTTTACCATTTCAAATACAGTAGGCACAAAAATTACAGAGCAGTCAACATGTGCTTATAATCTTAAACCATGAATTGCTCAACTGTTATGAACAGAGAAATAAATGGGAAAAGATAAGTGATAAATAGAAAATCAAATAAGACGGTATTTACGTGAATTTATGTAATGGCTACCATCTCTAGTGGCCCCTATCTTGAGGTTATCTTGAGATGATTTCGGGGCTTTTAGTGTCCCCGCGGCCCGGTCCTCGACCAGGCCTCCACCCCCAGGAAGCAGCCCGTGACAGCTGACTAACACCCAGGTACCTATTTACTGCTAGGTAACAGGGGCATTCAGGGTGAAAAAAACTTTGCCCATTTGTTTCTGCCTCGTGCGGGAATCGAACCCGCGCCACAGAATTACGAGTCCTGCGCGCTATCCACCAGGCTACGAGGCACCTACTAGTCCCCTAGATGGGGACTGGAAACCAGCAATTTGTCAAAGGTCTCCCCATGGTTCCTGAAGATGTTTTCCATCTGAATTTCAAACAGGGATTGAGATCTGGTGAAATAGTTGATCACCAGGGAAGCCTAGGTTCAGTCCAGACCTTGAGAGGAGTAAGAGAGTGATTTAAATGGGTATGATACACAAGAGATGTGCAGTAATACAAAGAAAGACTTAAACTATTGCTTTATTTCAGGGGCTCTGAAGAGACGCCGGGCATGCCTACAGATACTTCGTTCTCGTATTCCTTTGCCTGGAGAGACAAGGTGGTAGACAGCTCCTCCTTCAACATCCCGTGGGGGCATAACAACCCCACGTGAGTAGCTTGAGTCTCTTTGTTATTGCTTTTATGTACAATTGCTTTTGTTATATATGACATTCTGTTGTATTCAACAGAATGTATCTCATCACTAATTTCCACCGTTGTACTATTTTACAATCTGTTATGTTTGCATAATCTCTGTAATATTCAGTATGTACCATTGGGGGTTTGATTATAAGATTTTTGTCACTGTTCACAGAAGGAACATGTGGGTGTGTAGTAATCTAGCCCCTGCTGGCAGAAGGAATCAATTGCCTTAGTATTAAATAAAAATGTAGATTTTTTTTTTTTTTTTTCATTTCAAGGTCTATCCCAGTTCCTACAATAATACAAGTTTCGGAGACTTCTAAGGTGGGTGCCTACCATCTTAGTCCAGCAATCAAGGAGAGGTTCACAGAATTCATATCTTTCTCTGGTGATGAGCAGCCAGAAGGGGACGACATCAAGCTGCATGGGGGAATGTACTACATCACCCGAGACATTTATAATCCCGACATTGGAGACTTGAGAATTCAGTTCTACTTTGCTGGACGGGCTGGTGAGGTGGTAAGGAAGTCTCTCTTTTTTAGTAAAGGCTTTATATTGTATCTTGACTACTAAATAGCTCTGATAACCAAACCACACATCGGAAGATGAAGAAATGACGATGTTTCGGCCTCTCCTGGACCATTCACAGGATCAAGAACACAAGACTTGATAATGGCACAGGATGGACCGAAACATTGTCATTTCTCCATGTTCTGATGTGTGGTTTGGTTATATCTTCAGCTACATTATTTTGACTCATTGTCTGCATAAATAGCCGTGATTAAGGGTCCTACATTATTGTGCTCATAACCAAAAAGAAATCACAAAATTAATGCAAAATAAATTGTATTTGGTGATTTGAGTACAGATGGTGATCATAGATGGTTATTTGAGCAATTCAAGGGTAAAAGATTGTAATGTTTTGCCTTTGCAATATACAGTACAGTAATATAAAATTGTGAGGATCCTCGATCCATATAATACATGTTTAGAAGAAAGATGTCAACTAATTGATGCCAGATAGTGTATGTTGCTGAGCAAGGTTCCCTCAATTGTTTCCCTGTGTCATTACAATGAACCAATACTATGTCTTATAACCATATTTATATAATTTGTATAAGAAAATTGTAAATGATGATAACGGCATTGGCCCAGGCATTAATATACAGTATAATGATAACCACTCCTGAAGAGGTAATTGTAATTATAATATAATGCCTTCATAGGGTGTTTAAATATTTATGCCAGAGCTGTATGTGGTGGGGATGATGAAGATGGGAAAAAACATTCTCCAATTTCTGCTTTAAAAGTTGGATATATGTACTGTATATGCTAAAATATTATGCAGTAATTAAAACAAACATTAAAAGTGATTGCTACAAAATGCTACTAAATTACACACACAAATCACAACAGCGTGATGCATCAAATGAACGAATCCACAAGGGACCTGCGTCCAAGGGATCCCAGACGCTGCCTTAATCAACTGAGCTACGACATGGTGAAATAATTGCAACCGGAAAATCATCCTGATTTACCGACGGATCCTGCAGTTTCTCTGAGACACAAACCAGGGTTTTATGCAATTCCCCCATGCACTCGAGCTATGTCAATAGGCTGTTCTACCTCTTCGCCCTTGGTAGAACCATGTCGTAGCTCAGTTAATTAAGGCAGTGTCTGTTGTATCCACTCGGATGTAGGTTCGAACCCTCGTCATGACCCTTGTGGATTTGTTCATGCTACTAAATGGTTATTAATGGTAAGAAATTCATTATGTCTTCTTAAGTACTCGGTGAGAGACTCGAGTGTTGAGCATTAGTAACACCTGTAGCATTGTGGTCTGTGTCCTCGGCTCACAGCCAAGGAACCCAGGTTCTGTCCTTGGGCAGGACAGAAACAGTTGGGCATATTTCTTTTCTCCTGGTGCCTCTGTTCACCTAGCACTAAAGAGATGCCCAGGATTTAGACAACTTGTAGGTTGCATCCTGGGGCAGGTCAGTAGTTGGCCTAAAAGGGGGGGGGGAGGGAATAAGCCTAGATACTGGCATCCTGTCCCCAACAATGGGAATTATTATTATTATTATCCTCTTGGAAGAAGAAGAGAAAAGTGCCGTGAACCCAAGGCAACCAACACCAGGGGCCAATCTCGTACTGAAAGGCCTAAGGCAGCAACAGAGCAAACTTAGTGCGTCAAATAACTGTATTTCATCCTGGAGCTGGCTTTTATTTATCTGCGTGCTAAATAGGCCTCGAGAGTGAGGGAAGAGGATGTCCTATTATTGTTGGCTCATATTCACCAGAAAAATAGGAGGAAATGTTTTACCTTTAGTACCTGTCTTCACTGGGTAAGAGTGATCATGTTCAATTAGTTATCAAATTTGGTATTAAAAATAGAATAAGCAGTCTGAGATGGCATTGTGAATGATGTTTACAACCTTGTGAATATTTCTCGATACAGGTACTAAATATTAATAGCCTTCTGGGTTGGTGTCTTCTTTTGTTAATTACTGTACTTTGTTCAGCAGTCTGAAAAGATTTGTATTTTCCAGTGATATGCACAGTACCTGTATTCAATGATGTGTTTATAGTTTATAGTTTGTTCTTTGACAGTGTGAAGATGGTCTTGGTGGGTCAGCCAGAGGCTTGGGGCCCCATGCAGGAATATCCCTGGAAACAAAAAATTGCTGAAATTTTTGGTGGGCATATATTAGAATTGGGGGAATTTACCATGGAAGATTTTTATGAATTTCATGATTTCAGGTGAGCATAGTTGGGCAGCAGGTTGGGGAGACACTCCATCCTTATCTCACGAGTAATGGACGGGAGTTGTTGATTGTTCACATGGGCAAGCGGACCGTTGAGGAGATGTTTTCTTCAGAGCATGCCCAGAACCGCTTCCTGACTTGGAGCCTGCGTGTAGGAGGCTGGTTTCTCATGTTCATTGGACTGACATGTGTAACGAACATTGTCAATTCCTTAGGTGAGTCATGATTGTAAATTAAAATGAAATTACAGTACAGTATTGTTGTACAGTATACAATTTTTTGTCAACTTGAGGCGAGTTACATTGTGCTTAGGACTGATAGTATCAAGTAATACAGTTTTATTACAGTACAGTGTACAGTACTGTGTATTTTGAAAAAGAAGTGAAATCATTATGATCTTTGCAACCTTTTTCAAAATTTACTTCAGAGATACATGAATGCAAATTCTTGAATTACCAACAACTGCCAATATAACACTGACAGTGGTTGGTGGGATAGAGCGGGAGTATTTATGTACTGTAAATTATAAAAATAGAGTTTTGAATGGTATGAAGATCTTTTTTCTACATATCCAGGACACTCCTTGCATGCATGCCATATTCTAGTTGACTATTTTTTTTTCTAGTGCATTGTAAATACAACATTGTACTGTATTGCACTGTATATACAGTATTTTGTGTACTGTATTATACTGTATACACAACATGTATTATTGTATATACAGCCTGTATATACAATAATACATATATGCTGTATTTACTTGTACTGTGTGTATATACAACACTATACAAAATGCTGATCTTGTTTAATTTCTAAGAATATTAGATTTGTTTGACGAGTTTTCTTGTTTGCTTTTGACAGTGGTGTGCTCTCCACTCATGAGAGACGTGGTTGCCCTTGGCCTAGGCTCGGCAAACCTTACCCTGAGCATGTCTACATCGCTGATAATTGTAGGTGGGGCATGGGCTGTCTACCGACCAGGCCTCGCTCTCCTCATTCTCATTGTGGCGGCACTTCCATTCCTCCGGGCAGCTGCACGACACTCTTCATCAGAAGGGTTTTCACGCAGAGCAAACGGGTTTAGAGGCAGCCCGTGAGAGATTCCTGAGAGTGACCATCGCGTGTTTGAAGCAGCCTTCAGGAGGTTATCACACTGATGTATTGGATGACTAGAACGCTATTGTAGATGTTAGTTTCCTCTTTGGCAATACAGGTGTACATTTATATATATTTATAACTTTTTTTTTTTTTTAGGGGGCATCACTTGTTAATATCTCCTCTGATACTTTTTATATATATAATATTAATATATATATATATATATATATATATATATATATATATATATATATATATATATATATATATATATATATATATATATATATATATATATATATATATATATATAATGTTGTACCTAGTAGCCAGAACGCATATCTCAGCCTACTATGCAAGGCCCAATTTGCCTAATAAGCCAAGTTTTCATGAAATAATTGTTTTTCAACTACCTAACCTAACCTAACCTCACTTTTTCGGCTACCTAACCTATCGTAACCTATGAAGATAGGTTAGGTTAGGTAGGGTTGGTTAGGTTTGGTCATATATCTACGTTAATTTTAACTCCAATAAAAAAAATTGACCTCATACATAGTGAAATGGGTAGCTTTATCATTTCATAAGAAAAAAATTAGAGAAAATATATTAATTCCAGAAAACTTGGCTTATTAGGCAAAATGGGCCTTGCATAGTAGGCTGAGAAGTGCATTCTGGCTACTAGGTATGACATATATATATATATATATATATATATATATATATATATATATATATATATATATATATATATATATATATATATATATATATATATATATATATATATATATATATATATATATATATATATATATATATATATATATATATATATATATATATATATATATATATATATATACACACACACACACACACACACACACACACACACACACACACACACACACACACACACACACACACACACACACACACACACACACACACACACACACACACACACACACACACACACACACACACACACACACACACACACACACACACACACACACACACACACACACACACACACACACACACACACACACACACACACACACACACACACACACACACACACACACACACACACACACACACACACACACACATATTACAATAATGACAGCATTAATTGTTCCTCTATGGGTAGAGATTTTCTGAACACACAGTAAGACGATAAAATAATATCGTAATCACCATAAAATGGGATGCGTTTCCATTAACTCTTTGTACAAAACAAAAATAACTTATATAATACTTAATGTACACAAATGAAGAAGTTAAGTTATAATAATTATCGAGCTGTAAGAGCAAGATGTTAATTTAAAAACAAATATTTTACTTGAGTAAAAATCTTCACCTTCATGTAAGGATGCGTTTCTTTCTCGGATAATGGGAAGCTCTCGTTATTTAGGGCTAGTAACTTGGTGGGTATTCAGTGATGTATGTATACTATATTACAGTGTTTGTATTTGGTGATACAGTATACAGTACATACAGAGTTAATTAATACATTGGATCAAGGTATTTTGATACATTCCATGTTTGATTCAAGTTTATATTAATGTTGCAATTCATTATTAATGTCATTTCAAGGTGTGTTTATGTATATTTAATCCAGTATGATGATATGGTCGGTACAAGACAATTTGCCATATCCGGACACACGGGAGGAGTGAATTGGTTATCGTGTCTACATGACCGACAACTCATCACATCGTACACTTTTTATACAACAATATATACAGCACACAGTTTGTTTGTACTTACATTAAAATGTTATGTAATCCATCTAACAGGGCTTGATATGGTACAGTGAGCTCAGTATTACTGTATGTATTAATTCCCGTTGTCAGGAATAGGAAGCCTGTACAGTACTTATGTTTATATCGAGGTCCCTCTTAAAACATACTACTGACTTTCTCCAGGATGCGCTAGGTGAACAGAGGCATCAGATGAAAGGAATTGTGTCCAATCATTTCTGCTCCACCCGGGGACTGAACCCGAGATCCCCGATTATTAGTCGAGGATGTAGCCCACGGTATAACAAAACTCATTACTGGGCATGTGATGACCCAGGAGGTGAAGACTGCTCACAAAATGCATAGCTTTAATTAACTGGCAGGTAACTGGCTTAGGCCACCGTAAACACACGTATCTTGTTTGATATTTATTTATTGATGTATATTCACAAATATATGGAATTACAGTATTAAATATTTAAGTGTTAAATAGGCAGGAAGACATGCTCATTTAGACTGTAGTAAGACACTATCCCATTAAGCAGTGGGACAACGAGTGGGTGCTTGTGTGTTCTCGGCTACGGTAAGATTTCTTAGTGTGTCTTGTTTAGGCTTTACTGTACAGTATTTGTTTATTTACCTAATCAATTACACATTTATATAGCCTTAGTAAATGTTAAGTATTAGTTTACATAATTATTTAGGCTATAGAAAGCTTTTGCACCCCGAGAAGATGAGGTGGTGATGTGCCATTGCGCCATGAGATAATGAAGAGGTGTGCCATTTTACCATGATAGAATGAGTTGGTAACCAACTCCATGGTCCATATTAGAGGGGCTGGTCCCAAACCTGCACACAGAAATAACATCACATGAGACCAGAAGACATGGCAGGATGTGCAGAATACCCCCGTTGAAAAACAGAGGTGCAACTGGTACTCTGAGAGAGAACTCTATCAATATCAGAGGTCCAAGACTGTTCAACACGCTTCCACTACACATAAGGGGCATAACTGGCCAACCCCTCACAGTGTTCAAGAGAGAACTGGATAAGCACCTCCAAAGGATACCTGATCAACCAGGCTGTGACTCATACGTCAGGCTGCGAGCAGCCGCGTCCAACAGCCTGGTTGATCAGTCCGGCAACCAGGAGGCCTGGTCGACGACCGGGCCGCGGGGACGCTAAGCCCCAGAAGCACCTCAAGGTAACCTCAAGGTATGGTAGGGTCCAAGGAAACCACTGCTACCATTCTATTACAGTACAGTACCACTGTTTATAGGCGTGTAAAGGAACCAAAAACTGGTGCATTCATAACCTTTTCGTATTCTTTGGTGGGTATCTCGGCATGTGCTGTGTTGCATCATCATCCCGATTGTACTTTTTGTTGTAGCACGAGGCTAGTGTGGCTTTTCTGTTAGTCTGGTCTGGTGGCTTGTGACTACAGAATGTTGTAGTGTTAAATATACATGTCTTCGGCATTTTAAGTTTAGTTTAAAGATGGCTAGTCACTTATATTAACTAGGCTTATATATACATGTATATATAATATAACTTGTGATATCTGTTGGTTTTTAGTTAATATTGAAAAATTCTATTGGCATTGTACAAGTGAATTGATGATTTTAACAAGGTTAAATACACAGAAGAACAAATCATTTATGGTATATATATACCTATGATATATGCATTTATCCTTTGTTTCCTTGTTAATATGAAAACTTTATATTGTATAATTTGAGAAAATGTTTTACGGTACAGTAAAAGTATGAGAATACCGTAATGCAATATTGTATAGTACTAGATGAGCATTTACTTCAAATAATAAATTTTTCCATTTAAATACAGTACACTGTATCAAATTTAAATAATAATTCAGGCCTTTTGCAAAAAAAAAAAAAAAAAATAGTACTTAAATACCAAAAACTAATATATAGTATTCAATGATGTACAAATGGGTATGTGTAGACTAAAGATAACTAACAATTTTATAATTTGTATTGCTTTTCTATATGATTAATATGCAGTGTTATATGATCATTGTACTTCCACAATACAATTCTTCCCCTTTGCCTATAAACAACTGCATAAAATTAAAGAATGGAATATAATTTTTTGATTCATTCCCCTCGGTGGGCACTTTTTTTGTATTATTATTATTATTATTTATTATTATTATTATTATTATTATTATTATTATTACTATTATTATCATTTATTATTATTATTATTATTATTATTATTATTATTATTATTATTATTATTACTATTTTCTACCACAGACGTGGCCACACATTTACAATGCTAACCAGCATATATACATTTTCTTCTGTCCTCCATGGACAGGGTTACAGAAGTGTTACTGCTTTGTCATGGTGAGGAGGCTTTTGTGCGCTTCCCACGGGTAGGAGCAGGGTGGCTCCTGCTCTTTTCCCCTGCCTGCTGTGCAGTGCACAAGCAAAATACGCCCCCTATATGTTGACCATGTTTAGAAACTTATGCATTCCCTGATGTTCCTTCATGTGGAAGGTGACCCAACCTGAAGTTGCAGCCGACTGGAGGGCAACATGCCTCTTTGGTGAGGGGATAGGAGTAAAACGGAAAGTTCAATGAGACCCACTTTAACCAATCGACTCGTCTGGTTAGCCATGCCTAGTTAGACTTCGGGTCAATTGGACATTGTGGGGTTGATACCCCCTATTGGTCTCTGGAGTACCATTAGGCTCATAAATGATGACCTATGTACAGTATACTGTTCCAGTTATCCCTGAGGTTGCTTACCCTTGTGCTTATGTCTGTCTCTCTCCTTTACCACTGTTTTTATATGTTAACCTAACCCAATTTCTCCTCAGGCTTGTGGGGTTGGCAACCAGGCACTGTATTTCCCTGCTGTGTTGGGCCCAGACTAGTCTTCATCTGACTTCCTCAACTGACTTTTTTCCATTCCTCTCGCACACTTCCGGGCAGGGTTGAGCCCCAAGCCTTTGTGACTACCTTGTCACCCAGAGTGGTTCCATTTTCCACTGTGATCTCTGCACCTTTTTTTCCCCCCTCCTAAATGGGGATTCACAGCACCATCACTGCACTTGTATGTGCTAGAATTTTTCTAACACTGTTACATTCCAGGATTTATTTGCCTTTGCTACATGGGCCAAATATTTTTGTCTTTGTCACGGTGAACATAAACGCCCTGACAATGACCACGTCCATAAGCACCTCGTTGACACTGTGGGTTTCCAATTTACTTTTGACTCCACCCAGACTAGAACACTTGTAGTTGAAGCCCCTTCTCAGAAGGCAGCTACCTGCCTAGCTACTTTGTCCTGCATTGGTGAGACCCCAGCTTGGGTGTCCCCAAAAATTCCCTGTTGAATGCCAGCATTAACAAGGTCGTTTTCTTGCACCATGTTGCAACAGGAGATAGAAACCTCAAAGACTGCCATGAGGATTTTTAATATATCCTCAAGGCCCAGATC